GGCAAGATAAGTCAAACACAACTTCATCCAAAACAGACCCCGCGTTATCAGCGAAAGCTAGAGCCAAATTGATGTCGTTCTCGGGGATACTGCATAATAGTTTGCTGGAGCAGTTTGGCAACTTGCGATTTGTGTTTGTGAGCGGCCGTCTCGAGAGGGTGACCTGTAAGCGCGTGTAAGTGTCATGGAATGACCCACAGTTCGTAACCGCCCATCATGCCCAAGCATGGCCGCAATACACGACAAGCCACAAGAGGCTTTGATTGATTGCGGATTCGTGAGTAGACGTTGAGAAGGGCATTGCCGGGTGCCGAGATCGGTTGTTAGCTCGAGGGTTGCAGCAATCGTCGCGACAGTTGCTGCTAGGCTATGGATTGAGTTGAGCTTTTGGCCTTCTTGATGGATTGTCAGGTCAGAGTGCCAATGTCATGGCCAGCGCAGTGCCATTGCGGAGCTGAGAGTACTTAGTCCAAGTCTGATGCTGAACGGGGATCGGCGGTTTTTGGGAGGCTTGAACCACTGAAAACCTAATGCGACTTGGTAGGAGCCAGAACACGAGCCTGTCGGACCAGTGAGGTGTGACAGAGAAGACAGCTCATGGCATAACTGAGTGATAGAAAGGCACATGAAGAGATTTCCATATGCATGTCAGTGCTAGGGTAGAATGCAGCGAGACGGGACGGGGTGGCCGACGGTGGATGGAGTCTGATGGAGTTGGACTAGGCATTCAACCGTTCAGACTCTCAGACTCTCAGGTCCGGTCATGTAAGTAGCACAAAGTGCCTGCAGCTGCCGGGTTCCGACTCCCAGGTTGCGTGGTTTGAGATGAGAAAAGAGAAAAAGCAATGAGCAAATTAAACATGTTCTGGGGGAGAATAGCCACGTGCCTGTCTTCAAGAAGCAATTCGATGTATGGTTCGGTGAGGAAAGCGCCGTTGACACCCGAATGACATGAGGCGTCCAACGTCCAACGTCGAGGGTCAAACGATGCGTGGGATCAGTATTGCATAATACGAAAGCAGGCGCAGACCATCAGCACCGAGAAAGAAGCAGCCCGGCAGACAACCAGCTCTCTGAGGGGTTTTCATGCCCCGGGCTTGACTCTTGAGAGGCAAGAGCGACTGCAAGGCTTGACTCTTTCCAACTTAGAGGGGACTTACTGCAGTAGGTTGTAAGGGACGAGGCAGGCGTGGGAGGGCAAGGGGAAGGAGAAGAGGAAGGGGGGGGCTACCTGCCTTAATCACCCCTGTCTGCTTGGCAATGCCGGTACGTACCTGCCGCCCACCCCGAGATTCCAAGAATCGGAAGCCCGCGCGCGCGCCCACCCAAAAAGATTCCATTTGGCTTTCCATTGCAGAGAGACGGGGGGGAGACAGAGGGGCGGAACCTCCCAAAAGGCCATGTCCCACGTCTTCCTTTTCGATGGTGAACCACGCATCCGACCCGACCCAAAATCCAGACAGCGGGGATCGGGGACACCATCTTTGAGGGTGTTCTAGGCCTCACAAGTACATATTCCCGCCACAACCACCACAGAGATACTTGCAGATTGGCACTCCCGGGTCCTGCTCCTGTACGGATACCGCCCAAAAGAATTAACCCACATCCATCGCACATTGGATTTGCACATTTGCACATCGGCCGCTTTGGACCGACCACACACACAACACACGCACACCCACCACGCGCTTGACTCCCCACGCACAATTCATCTCTCGTGTCTTTCTGCACAAACTCCCGCAGACAAGGCACCTACGCAGTATCCCTCCAGTCTGGTCTTACCTTTGGGTCTCGCTTGGATTGACTTGTCCAGTCCAGGTTGTTGTCTTGCCCAGTCCTGGCAGGTTTTTATCTAATCTTTTCTATTTACCTCAGATTCTGGCCTGATCCGAGACCACAATCCAATCCACACACCCCTCCCCGGGCCCCCGACTTTCCTATTGATCATCTCTCTCCGCGGGGAAGAGAGACACACACGCACACACACACAGAGCACCGCACACCACACAACCACACACATTCGCACACAGAGAAACATTCCCCAAACGCGTTCATCTGCAACCTGAACCTCTTTCTCTCCTTCCGCCGCCGCCCACCCCAGTGTGTCTCTGTCAACACCCTTTGCGCCTGTGCGCCTGTGCGCCTGTGCCTCTGTGCCTGTGGTCTGGACGCAACCGTAAATCGCCCATCCCGAACAAACATTGGACGCCGCCGACCATTTCGCCGCAACCTCGACCCAGACGCCTTGCGTCATGCCCACGCCCAGGAACCCATTGGCCCACCTCCACGCCCCGATTCCTGACCCTCGTTCCTCTAGGTATCGGTCTATCCCCTAGTCGCCGCTACCGCTACCGCTGTCACTGGCACTCTCCGTCTTGCAGTTGCTGTTGCTGCCTCTGCCGGCCTTGAGCGACATGGTTGACATGGACGATGCGACGAGGCTCATCGGAGACCTGCATCAGAAGCTAGCCGACCTCGACCACAAGGTTGCAGCCTACCGCCAAGACATGGCCCTCGAGTTCCATAGATACTCCCACCAACTGCTCCAAAACATCCCACAACACACCAAAGCCGAGGTTGCTCGTCAAGTTGCCGCTTCCTTCGACAACTACTCAGCTCTACGCCCTGCTCTCGGCCAGAGTCTCACAACTCCCCTGCGAGAAACTGACCTGCCTGACTCACCGCCGCCACCACCGTCTATCAACGATACCGAAAACCTCACCGAAGGCCACAGCAATCCCGGCAACCCCCGCGAACCTCCGCCGCCATCGTCCACCTCTACGTCCACATCCACGTCTACGCCCCCATCCGTCCTTCCCTATGCCGGCACCGCTGCCCTAACCTCACCCGACAGCGTTTATGATCGGGAAAGGGATAGGGGTTTCCACGGTCTCTTCACCCCAAGCTATCTGCCCCTGCTGGATAGCTCACACGAGACTCCTGCTCCGGCAGCAAATCAGTCACCAATCCTCTTGCCAGCTTCAACCTCTGCTGCTACTACTACGCAAGACGACATGGGTCGTCGCAAGTCCAGTCAGACTCGGGAGCAGCCTGCGATCCAGGTGTCGGTCGCCGCGACCCAGACGCCTGAGAGGCCGAACCACGAACGCCGGGCGACTGATGACACGACGTCTTCTGGAGCTTCGGAGCAGAGCGAGTCCAAGGTGCGCCGCAGCGCCTTGAGAAGAAGCTCGAGTGGAATCAAGCCACCTGCCAGCCCTAGGCGAGTGCGCTTCGAGTTCGAAGGAGGAGAGGTGCTGCCTACAGCCTCACCCCAGTCATCGGAGCCGTCCCTCGTACAGTCGCACACCCTTGCCAACTCGAGGTCACCGCCTCCACCAGAAGATGAGTCAATGAGCGTCGAATCCTTGCTGGGCCCAGACGAAGACGACAGCGGCCCGCCGCCAAAGAAAGTCTCTTCTTCACAAGCACTTCGCGCTCTTTCTCGAGCTCCCTTGGATGCTAATACAGTTTGGACCGTTGTAAATGCCGAAGCCCAGGATAAGGAAAATGGTAGTATGGCAACATCGGATTCAGAAACGTCATTGCAACCGAGCGACAGTATCGGAACACTCCCGAAACCTCAATCACCACCAAAAACCACCTTGGTCGAGCGCAAACGAACCCCCGAACCATTGCGGTCTGCTTCTCCGGAGAGAGTCAGCCGGAGGGATGATGATGAGGACAGCGACGGCAGCTCTTCGGATGACGGCTTCCTCGCCATGGCAAAGCCAAAGTCCTTTGCCAACAAGAAAGCAATTCTTTCACCGTTATCACGCTCACCAACTAGAACGGCCACTGCGCCTTACAGCCCTACTCGAGACAAGTCAGAGTCGCACAACGAGGATAAGTTGGTGACACAAAACGATGGGCTGGACGACGACGATGACGACGATGATATGTTCCATTTCGAAGGACTCAGTGCGCCACCAAAGCCCCGAGCTCGACCAGCTCCGATACAGGAGGAGGAGGATGAAGAAGAGGAAGAGGAAGAAGCTGAGTCGAATGGGCCAGTTACCCAGACCCTATACTCGACCTCGCCTGCTGTGTCTATCCCGAAGCCAGTTGAGCCAGCGATTCCGGCACATCTCATTTCAGGCTCGGTTGGATCTTTCAGAGGCCGCCCTGTTATCATGCCTGTTGTGAAGAATCCTGATGTATACCAACAGGCAGCATCGCTCGGCGATGTCAGCAGCTTCATCGGAGGACTGGACGGACGCAGCGGCGTTGACGACGGGGATCTCAGCAGTTACCGTGCCAGTGTCGGGCAGGCATTGTTTTCGGGAACTCCTCGAAGTCTGACGGAACGAATGATGATGGAGGAAGCACAGAGTCAGAGACGGGCAGCAGCGCAGCGACCTCAATAAGGGTAACGCGTCACTGCGCTCTTTTCCCTCCGTTTATGTATATGTTACGGGTATGGGGCAATTGTAGAGTTCCGGAAGTCTGTACATAGACTAAGCTTCGGCGTTTAGATGCATTATGGCTGGGCAACTAGGAGGGTGTGGCATGCCGAGGCCTTTGGCAGGATGGTTTGGAAGGTCTAGGACGGCGGCACAGGCATCATTCGTACATGGCATACCCGCATCATGGTAGTTTATAAACCACAAAACAAACGCCTACGGGCTGTTGAAAAGAGACAGGAGGATACATTCGCACTGCTTGATTCGATGGAATGGTGAAGGGTGGATGTCGGCTCAACCCTCGTTCTGGTCACGGCGTTGAGGTTCCTCTCGGGCTCTGTCAGATCGGGCTGTTTGGGACCCACACCAAAGCCCGGACGGGACCTGAGCAAGTGGAAAAAACCTGCGCCGAGCCTCCGACTCTCCCGCCCAATCCCCGGGCGCGTCCAATCCCGCTGCAGATGATTCCCAGGTGGTGCAGCTGGGGCCAAATGCAAGAGCTCCCATCCCATCATCCCGCGAGTCAACTTTGCCATCGTCATCGACTCCCAATTGCACAACCACCACAACCCACGATCACCACGCAAAACAGTCATAATGGGCGGCCTTAATCTCGAAGTTTTCAAGGTGAGATTTAATTGAGTTCTTGTCCCCATTGATCCCGTCCTGCACAACGACTTCAGAGACCTCTTGACTGACATGGCGCCACCACCACAACAGTTTGGCATGTATGTCATGTTCCCGATCGGCGTCATGTACTACTTTGGCACGAACCTCGACAACCGATTCGCGGTGCCCGAATTCTGGCCCAAGGCCGAGCACTCGCACAAGATCCCCTTTGACCGCGACGAGATCAAGAGCGAGTACATTCGTCTGGCCAAGAGACAGCGGGCGTTTGACGAGATCAAGAGGGAGAGGGAGGCTGCGCAGGCTGCGCAGAACCCCGCGGCTTCGAACGCGGAGCAGTCATGAGGGTGTTTAGTCACTCATGGACGGAAAAGAGGCACATTTTGATTTCGATTCACGCCCGGGACTCAACATTTGAGAAGGGGTCCGAACGGATCGAGATTTTGCGCTGTATCATATAGGCGTTTTGGGCGGTCAAAAGAAGAACGTTCTTGGGCTTTGGGAAATTTGTCATGCGATTTAACGCGGAGTTTTGGGCGGAAAGGATATCATTCCTGGGGGTTGATTCGGATTCTCGGGTTGCACCCCCGACAACGCCCCTCTGAGGATTCTATCACTACTTGTATTATGTTTTTTTTTCTACATGTTGTACACGAAAATATGGTATCCTACGACAAATGTACATCAATATCGAAGAGTCGGGCCTATAAGTCCCAACATCTACGAGTCGAGGTTCTCCTCGATGCCGGACCACTGCTCCTCCGGGATGTCGCCCCGCGTGGGGTTGCCGTACACGGCCTGCACCTCGGGGAACTCCTGTAGCGCGGCCAAAAGCTCGCTTAGCGTCGTGGCTTCGAGTCCTTCGTCAATCTTGACCTTTGTGTCCTCGTTTGCGTTCCAGATGATTTCGGAGCTGAGCAGCTCGAGCTCAAACTTGGGGCCCACACCATTGACGACGGCATTGGTCATGTTGGGTTGCGTCCAGACGACAAGGTTGCCCTCCTCGTCGGCCTCGAGGTCCTCGGCGCCGCACTCGATGGCGTCGTCCATAATGTCGTCGATACCCACGGGGGCACCACCTTCCTTTGCGGCAAAGACGACGCGGCCTAGGCGGGTGAAGAAGAAAGTGGCGGCGTTGGCGGTGCCCTTGTGTTTCTTGACGAGGACTTTGAGGTCTTGGAGGGAGCGGGCCTTGCTCTCGGTCTCGACTTCGATTATGAGGGCGACGCCGGGCGGGAGGATGGCTTCGAGGGTGAGGGATTCGAGGGAGGCGCCTGAGGCGGAGCGGCCTTGACCTCGTGCGATGGCGGAGTCAATTACGGCTTTGGGGACGCCGTCTTGGACAGAGGGTTAGCTAATTTGTGTGCTCTGTGGACGAATGCGGGTTCGTTTTTGTGAAGGGGGTACCTTTCTTCGCATTTGCGACTGCTGTGACGAGTTGAGGGTTGTTGTCGGTTCCGTGTACTACGTGGCAATCGTAAGCTTTTGCGATGCAAGGGCCGGTGGTGCAACGTGGGACGCACGCCTAGAGTAGAGGGCAATCGTCTTGGAGTGCTGGCTGCGCATGTTGTTCTTTTGCGCGTCGGCGGCGCCCTTCTTGTGCTTGATCTTGGACCACTTGTTGTGCCCGCTCAATGCGACGGGCGTCGTCGAGAGCGGACGCAGGCATTGGCAGCAGAACGTTGTGGTGGTGGGCTGAGCTCGAGGTCTTGGGATGGCGGTTCGAGGGACGGCGACCGCGATGCGCGATGCGATGGTCCGGACGGGGCCGGAGGCGAACGGGCGCATAGTTGATAACGGAAGGGTATATGCGGCGATCTCGCCGGTAGGTTATGGGTTCTCTAGAACGGATTCGCGGCCAAAGTCTGGAGCTTTCAATGTCTTGTCTGGTTCATGTCATGTTTCTGACCGGAACACACTTTCTGCCACACAGACGGGCGGGAGCGATTGAGAGCTCGGAGCTTCCTCGAAAATTAAGTGGACCCATCCGGTCCGTCTGATGTGTGGCTGCTTATTGGTTAAACCCTTGACTTTTGACAATTCACACTTTGAGGTGGTACGGCTGAGCCACAGCTGGTGCCTCAAAGTGATATGTCATGGCTCTCGTTCCCCCCTGATGGAGAGCTTGGGACAGACCCGCCGGGGGGTAGCCGCCCCTAATTCCATGGGGCTCACCTTGAACCATCCTGTACCTGACCGCATGCCTGTCCTGTCCCTCAACCTGTCCCCAATAACCCACCCTTCGACAACACATCCGACGAAAAGGGAACAACAGCATCCATTGAACAAAACACCAGAACCCCCCCCCAAGTGTGTGCGCTCGACGGCGTAACTTCACACACAACCTCCCCGTCGTCCCCAATGTCGTCGACAGGAGCCCCCAATGGCTCCAACGGGGACCACGCGCAAGCAGCTGCCTCGCCCAGGCCATCGACAGCTGCATCGGGACCACCACAACCACAACCGCCCCCAGCCGCAACGACAGCTACCGCGGCAGACTCGTCAGCGACATCGACCCCCGAGCTCGACGTTTCGAAGCTGCAGTCCCTCCCCGCCGAACAACAGGAGCTTTTCCTCCTGACCTTTGTCTCGACACTCTCCAAGCACGTCCTCAGCCTCCCCGCCGACGACTGCACCGCCCAGCAGTTCTACCTCAAGAAGGAGATCTTCCAGATCATCAACCTTCCCTCGCCGCAGCCGAGCCGAGTCGTCAGAAACAACCTGGGAAAGTGCCTCGCCCACATCTTTGGCCATGGCGACAGGAAGCTCCTCTTTGAGACTATCAATGATCTAATTGGCATCATCTCAGGCGCCAAGTCCAAGGCTGACGCCGGCCCGCGCACGAAGCACGCTGCTGTCGCGTGCCTGGGAGACGTCTATGTATCCGCCGGTGACAGTGCCATAGGCCTTCACCAGTTGGCCTGCGCTACGCTCATCAAGCTGCTCAAGTCGTCATCCAGCAATGCTGGCCTCCGTGCTGCGGTCTTTGTGTCCCTGGCCAAGATTGTGAAAATGGTGGAGGGAAGCGTGGACGAGAACGTCGCCAGGGATATCTTCAAGCAGTCGCGCAGCTACGGCACTAGCGACAAGGGCTCACTCGTCATCGTTTCGGCGTGCCGCTGCCTGAGAGCCCTGGTTCGGCACACACCGTACTTTGAGAACTCTAGCGACTTTGAGAAACTGCAGGCTGCCATCTGGAAGGTCGTTGATTCATCGTCATCGCAAGTGAGGCACGCAGCCGCGGAAGCGCTGGCCGAGGCCATGGTCCGCGGGTACTCAGAGGCTGGAGTGGCGGAAGGCGCTCCCATGACATCAAAGGCGTCCAAGAGGTTTTCCAAAAAGCCCCTCAAGCGCACAGGTACAGCAGCCAGCATTGTTGCGGACGAGGACGACCTGCCGACGTCGCGGCCTGGAAGCCCTGCCCCTGGTGGAAAGAGGACGCAGGATCTTGCGCTGTCTCTGGCGGAGATTGGCAAGATACTATCCACGCAGTATGCCAAGATGCCGACGTCCAACAGGGCGAGAGCCGCGATCGGCGTCTGTTACGGCAAGGTGCTTAGAAAACTTGGCGAGAAGACTGTGGAGGCGAACTACCTCAGGATCCTCGAAAGCTTGACGATTGATATTTTGGGAGCGCCTAATATTCTCAACAACCGTTACCGTCTTCTCATCTCGAGGCGCATCGTTGATACAATCCTCCAGGACATCATTGGAAAGAAGATCTTGGGCGAATCTGGGCAGACTGCGGCGGCAAAGTCGATTATCAATGACATTCTGAAGAACTATCCCCAAGCCCTGACGGAGCGGCCCGAGCCGTCGAAGCATACTCTCATCGCCGCCCTCGGCGCTGTGGCAGCGCTGATCAATAACTTGGGATCCGCTGCCAACAACTTTGCCGAGTCTTGCCGCGATGGCCTCTTGCAGGTTCTCCAGCACCCCAGCTATTCAGTCCAGGTGCATGCCTCGGCGTGTATGAAGGCTTTTGTTCTGGCTTGCCCGCAGCAACTCCTGCCCTGCTTGTCGGTTTGCATGAACAGTTTGAGTAGAGAACTAGCTCTATTGACGAGTGGCCGCAACTCTCCTCGACGATGCGTAGGATTCGCCCACGGTTTGGCGGCAACACTAAGTGCCAGCCCCGCGCGACCTCTGCATGGTTCCGTTGACATCAACAGCCGTGTTCTGACCATGGCCACCAACTTGCTGAAGTCGAGCGGTCAGTCTGAGTTGAGGGTCTCGAGTACTCAAATCCAGGTCGCCTGGATTCTCATCGGTGGTTTGATGTCGCTCGGACCGAATTTTGTCAAGATTCACCTTTCTCAGTTGCTCCTTCTGTGGAAGAATGCGCTTCCGAAGCCATTGTCAAAAGACAACACTGCGCACCGGAGTTTCTTAGAAGCTTCTTTCCTAACCCACGTCAGAGAGTGTGCCCTGGGGTCTATTCTCTCGTTTCTGCAATTCAACAACCGCTTGTTGACAGTCGATGTCTCCAAACGCATAGCAACGATGCTCCAAAACACGTCCGCATTCTTGCGAACGCTGCCTGCGAGAAAGACTACCGACGATGTGGCGCAGAGGCTGACGCCGGCATTGCAGCTTCACGATCTCGATATGATGGTGCAGCGTCGGGTTCTGCAATGCTACATCAAGCTGGTCAACCTTAGCCCGGCTGGTGGCAGTGAGGCCCTTTTGCAATCCAACCTCCTCACAATCGCGATATCGCTGTTTGCGGACCCCGAAAACTACTCGGTCAACTCCCTCAGTGCATCAATTGCCAATGCCGCGGCCACGTTCGAGACTGTTTGGGATGTCGGCGACAACTCTGGGTTCGGGATTACAGGTCTCATTTCCGGATTCAAAATCAAGAGCCTGCCTGGCCAGCAGGACAACTCGATAGAGGGAACGCCCTTGGAACAGGATACCCCAGAGGAGGCCATTGACAGATTATTGTTGTCGCCAGTTTGCGGCACTTTAGAACATGACGCATCTCTTTTGTACGTCGGCGACACTGCCTCGGAGGCGACGAATCCAGACCCACCAGCTACGGAGGTCATCAATATGGCTATCCAGCTGTTCGCGTTCGTGTTCCCCCTCACGCCCCCTAAGGTACAAGAGAGTGTGCTTGAGCAGGTCAGAACCTTCATGTCGGCTGGTCCCCTTCTGAGAGACCCGGGAAGGAAGGCGGCTATGAATGTCAATGTCTCAGTTGCCATCTTGTCGACGTTGCGCGTGGCGGTGAAGGAGACTCAATCTTCGCCTGGAAATGTCACCAATTTGGCCGTGGAGAGGCTCCTACAGGATATGCTGCGGGATTTCGTTATTGATGGGGACCAATATGTCCGGAGCGTTGGGTATGCTGCGGTTGCTAGGCTTTGCAATGCCTGCGGTAACGCCTTCACCAACCACGAAATTAAGTACCTTGTCGACACCATCGTCAGTAACCGAGAGCCCAGCGCTCGAGCTGGCTGCGCCATGGCACTCGGATCCATTCAAACCAAGGTCGGTGGCATGGCGGCGGGCTACCACTTGAAAACTATTCTCGGTATTCTCATGTCTCTCTGCAATGATCCTCATCCCACCGTCCATTTCTGGGCCCTGGAGGCGCTCGCACTGGCATCAGATGCGGCTGGACTAAGCTTTGCCGGATATGTGCCTAGCACGCTCGGAATGCTGGCGCAACTCTACGTCTCTGATACGCACCACCCGGAAATCTCGTCTGCCATTACGATGAACCTCGAAATGGAACTCTCCACCCCTGCCGCCATCACACGATGCGTAGACTCTCTCATCAATGTTCTGGGTCCAGATCTGCAAGACTCGACCAAATCGAGAGAGCTTATCCTTAACCTGGTCAACCAACTTCAAGAGGAGGATGACTTGCTGGTGCAGCGTGCCACGCTGAGCTGTTTTGAGCACCTGTCACTCTACGCGCCAGGCTACATGCATTTTGAGGACTACGTCAAGTTACTTCAGAGGTATCTCAGATCGGAGTACCCGATCTTGCGCGACGTCGCCGTCGATGGCTTATACAACATCATGAAGAGAAACCCCAATGACGTGATCAACGCTGCTGAGAAGGGCTTTGAAGATCACCTGTGGCTGGTGCTTGATACCGCGCCAACACATGATGGTATCAGAAACATCCTGAGGAATTGGATGCGACAGACTTGTCTGACTGATACCGGCCTCTGGCTTCAAAGATTCCAGACAGTGCTCAAGATGACTAGGGCCAAGGCCAAGGAAGAGTCCGACGTCGGGCCCAAGAAGACGGGCGGATTGCCGGATCTACAAGACGAAGAAGTGGCTGGCTTTGCAGGTACCGCGAAAGATGATCAAGATAACAAGGCCGGTGCTGAAGTCGAGCCTCTCCGATGGCAAGTTACGACGTTTGCCATCAGCTGCATCAACGATATGTTTGTCCTCATTGCGAAGGACGTGATGACGAACGGCGAGTCCGCTGCGCAGGTAGCGCTCCAGAATAGGATTGGTGATGTCGTCCGCATGGCCTTCTCTGCGTCCACGTCTAGCGTCCTGGAGCTACGCGTATGGGGTCTCAAGATCATCGGAGCAGTCCTCAAGATGTTTGGAAGGACGCCTGACCCTGACTTTGATGAGGCCATGCTTCTCGAGCAGTACCAGGCCCAAATCAGTTCCGCGCTCACACCTGCCTTCGCCGCGGACTCGTCTCCTGAGCTCGCTTCTGAGGCTGTCAACGTCTGTGCCGGCTTCATCGCCACGGGCATCGTTACGGATGTTGATAGAATGGGTCGCATCCTCAAGACTCTGGTTTC